ACCAAACGTGACAAAGGTGGGGACTCAGAGACACTCTGACGGCATTTTCCAGGGACTCACAGCCATGTTCCACCAGTGATATGCTGGGAGACATGGTAGATTCCTGCGGGCTGGGGCTGGGACCAGGAGGACTTCTTGGGGGAGGAGGACTGGAGTAGGGCTTCAGGTAGGTGGCGTTTGGGCAGGAAGAGCATAATCACAGGCAGCACAGGCCTTGAGTGCCAAGTGAATGCCACACCATGTGAATGCCCAAGCCGTTGGACAGGGCAGGGAGGGATGTGGCAGAAGCAATGTGGAGGCCCAGGAGTCTCCAGGAAGGTGGGGTGCAAGGGTGGGGACTGAGCGGGAAGCACCTGAGGCAAGAGGAGCCCAATGAAGGTGGTGTGGAGACTCCTCAGCAGCACCCTGACGTGACTGCCTGGCCAGCCCCACACAGCAACGGGGGGTCTCGGATACGGGTCTGACCGTGATTTTGTTTTCTGCAGGGGTTCCCCCGGCTGAGCTCCTCATTCCCTGCCATCTTCTGGCCTCTGCCCAACACACTTCTTTTCATCTGAGTTTCTGCCCGTGCATGACCCTGGCGGCCCCTCCCACAGACATTTCAGCCCTCTGGCCCCGCTCCCCATCTCGCGCCCTGTGGACACCGACACCCAGTCTCCCGGCTTCCCGCTAGGCTGCCGCCCAGGGCAGTTTCGGTTCCCCTTGCCCCGCGCCCCCAGCCTAGGCCGTGTATGCGGGGTGGCGCACGGCTGTACGGAGCCCTCTGCCTCCACTGTCAGGCTGTCTCGGCCCAGCCACCCGGTCTCCCTCTGTGCCACCTGTCTTCTCTGTTCCAAGGAGGCCCAGGAGGGAGTTCACCATAGAACTAAACTAATCTAAGGGGCCCCGGTCACTGCCAAGGGCCCTGCTCAGAGCGGGATGTGACAGAGAAGCCCTAGGTTGGGCTGGGCTGGGTTGCTCAGAGTGAGGCCAGCACCTGTAGAAGTGTTCGTAAGGAACTGGCCAGAGATCTGAGAAAAGCAGATAGAGTCGCTGGCTCACCGTCCTCACGTTTCTCTCCTTCCTCCAAGGTGTTGCTGGCTGTCAGTGCTGGCAGAGCAGCTTCATCCGAGCCGGCCCAGACATGAGTGCCCGGAAGCCCACAGGAGCTAGTTTCTTGTTTGCCGCGCGGGGCGGGCACCTGAGAGACGTGTGGGAGTGGATGACGTCAGGAGGGCCCGCGGGTGTCCCATGGCCCCTCAGGCTTTGTGGAAGCTGTGGCGTCAGTTCCCACTGTGCCAGCTCGTGGAGCACATGCCGGGAGCCTTCACAAGGGCAGTGGCGGGGGGGGGGAGCAGCTGCTGGAGGGGACCTGGCTTGGAGGACATGCCCTTGGTCTGCTCGGAAGCCCCAGTTCACCGGTGGTGGTCACAGCCGATGGTGGGGCCAGGCAGCCCTGGTCAGTTCCCAGGCCAGGCCTCTTCTCCCAGAGCTCACCCTGGGGCCAGTGCTCTGAAAACTAGCCACTGGCCTGTAGGACACGGTCCTCCCTGGCTCTACCTGCTCAGACCTGTGAGTCTGGCGAGGCAGTGCCAGGGGTTAGAGGCTTCCCTGCTCCTGTCCCTTTTTTGGCTCAGGGCCCTGCAGCCCCTCTTCCACCTTCCTTGTCGCCACCACACACACGTCCCTGTTCAATTGCTCCAAACCAGCCACTCGGGGCTCCTGGCACTTCTGAGTGTGCCATGTTCTTTTCTGCCTCAGGACCTTTGCATTTACTATACCTTTCCCTTGACCCATCTTGTGTGGATTTTTTTTGGTGTTTTTTTTTTAACCTACCATTTTAAGTCTTGGGAAAATATTAAGATCTTGTGAACGAGGGCCTCCCAGACCACCCGTCACAGTTGGAGCTCTCCTTCCCAGGAATGCCAGCGGGGCAGATGAGCTGCTCAGAGCTCAGTCCCTGTGAGCCAGGCTAACATCCTGCTCCCCAAACACAGAACATAAAGGGGATGAGAAAGGCCTAAAAAGAAAGCAGAAGTGAAAACTAGGGAGAGCAGCTGCAAGAAAATGCAGGACAAACCCACCTTCAGGGGAAACCAGGCCCTGAGGAAGTGGGGGTCTGGGAAACAGGCAGCTGAAGGAGAAAATGGGGACAAAAGAAAGGGCGGCCAAGCCCAGGGAGAGTGCCACGGGGCGGCTGGACAGTGAAGAGTCTACGCTGCCCGCTGAGGACCTGCCCTCGCTCCGTCACAGCCCTTCCGAGCGGGGTCCTTCTCTCGGAGCACCCGGCTCTGCCCTGGACCCATGCGGAGCCGGGGGGGAATCCTGGTCATGCTGCCCAAGCCCCTCAGCACCACAGGCGCCGGACTCCCTGACACACAGTCCCTGTCACACGTCAGGAGTGGAGGCTTGCCCTTGGTACTTGAAGGCAAATGGAGATACACACCCAGGCTCTGGCCCACGCAGGGCACCCAAACTGACCAGTTTGGCCATTGGTGGGTGTGGGGGACAGTATGGGAGCGGGGCTCCCCTGTTCAGGTGCCAGAGCCCCGTTGGCCCATAGCTGGCCTTTGTCTGACCCCTGGGAACTCTGTGCCCGTAGAGAAGAGAGGCCCTGAGGCAGTGAGGCTTGGGGCAGGGTCTGCTGGACCCCCTGTGTTGTATGCTCCCCCACTTGGAATCAGGACCCTGATGCCGACATGTCTGAGGACTGGCATTTGGGGCGGCTTCTTTGGGCATTGATGTGGTTCTTTGGGGGCTAAAAATAAACGGAGTTATTTTTATGCCGCACTCAGAAAGCCCTTCGGGATGTCACATGAGACGTCTTGCACACCTTGAGCTGTGAGTGAGCTGCTTGCCCTGCTCACACTGCCCCAAGGGGAGGAGATGACAATGTCTCTTCCCTAAGCAGAAACACTGGGGTCTGAATGAGACGCCCTTCGCAGCCTCTCCCAGGAGGATTTCCCTGGAGAGCTCGGGGTGGGTCATGCTGGACCCCCCGGCTCATGATCATGGTTTTGGTCCCCAATGCCTCCCCCAATCCTGTTGGGTCCCTGGGTTGGACAGTCCCTCCTCACTGCCCACCGAGGGGCCAGGTCTCAGTGGGTCACTGGCATCATGCTGGCCCCAGCCTGGGCCCTCGGCTTACCTCCAGTGTCTCCCCCCCGCCAGGCCCTGGCTGCCCCTGACCATGAGGAGGATCTCAGAAATGCAGAGTAACCTGTGCTGGCCTGGCTCCTTCCCCAGCCACCCCCTCCCATGCCTGACCACCCCGTGCCCGACCCTCTCAGAAGGGCCTCGCACTCGGCCTGCACTGTTTGGAGTCTGTTCAGGCCTGTCCTGTCCTGGCATGAGGTGGGAGGACACGCCAGTTTCCTGGGAAGCTTGGTGGCATGGTGGTGGCCTGGGCACCACCAGCCGAGTCTGCCATCCCTGGGGACACCCTCCCTGGTGGAGGGAAGGCACGGTGGGCAGACTCAGAGCCCAGCGTTTCCAGGGGTCACTGTGTCCTGAGGGAGCGCTGTCCTCCGTGAAGATTCGGCCTGGGGTGGGGTTATTGGGAACAGTTGTCCAGCAGAGAGTGCAGGGTCAGGGCACGGAAATCCGAACTCGTCCTCCTCTCCCTGCCTCGCCTTCTGGTTCAGGGGGAGCCTGGTGGGCTGAACCCCTGGGTGGCGGCTGCCACCCGGCATCTTGGCAGAGTAGGCCCAGGGCAGAGGGGGCTGGAGAGGTGAAGACCAAGCACAGAGGTGACAGGACTTCCAGGAGCTCGGGCAGGAAAGGGGAGAGGCGTGAGGGTGGCCGGGGGAGGAGCTGCAGGGATGAGGGATGGCAGACCTTTTAAAACCCGTTTGTCTATTACATGCCATGAAGCATCCCTAAAGCTCCCCAAGAAAGGGCCCCAATTGGGCCAGCCCCTTCAGTCAGGGGGGATGGGAAATAGGTGATGCTTTTCTGTTCAAAGAAACTTAACATTGTCTACCAGCTGCATTTGGGCCCCGTGGGACTAAACGGAGGCCTTGTGAGATGCGAGGCACCCCTGGTATGGACGGCAGCCCAGCACCCACTGCCTCCACGGTGGGACAGCGGGGCCCTCTGCAAATTTAGGTGGGGCAGGGAAGTAAATCAGGCTGGCTCCCCCCATGGCCTGGAGTCTGGGTCCGTTGGAAAGAGTCTGGATGAAGAATGGTTTTGGAGCTTGGCTCGCTGTGAGCTCCTCAGCAGCCAGTGGAAACTTCCAGGAATGCAGCTCTGGGCCAGCCGGGGGCTGTTTCCACCACCGCTTTCACGAGACACAGACCCCTCCATGGCCAGCCAGCTGGCCAGCGCAGGGGGAGAGGGACTGTCTCAGCTCAGCTCTGCCTCTCAGGGTGCAGTTCACACTCCACAGCAGCAGTTTCTCAGGCCTGCCCTGCGGCCCAGGGCTCAGAGCCCAAGCAGCCGGGCCAGCTCAGTTAGCAGGGCAGCTGCCAGGAGCAGCCACCTCCACGCGTGGCTGACGTCGTGCGGGTGCTGCGAGAATTTATAGCAGCTTCAGTGGGAGGCTCCCTCCCAGGCCTCTGTTTCATTAAGTATGGAAGGACAGTTTCCTTCCACTGGACCACGGTCCAGAGCCTCGCAGAGCCCTCAGGAAAGGTGGCAAAACCTCTTGGGAAAGCCACAGACGAACGGGGAAAATTAACGGAAGGTTTTCTTACCTGACCCATTTCTGAGGCGTGCTCAGTGGACTCGCCAGTGCGCGGGGTGGCCTGGCACACACAGGCAGCCACCCAGACCCCGTGAGGGGCACAAGCGGTGAGGACAGCCGTCATGGCCAGCCTGCATCAGGCTGACCGAGGGCTGGGGTGGGTGTGACAGGTGGAGCAGCCGCCAGAGACGAGGGGCCAGGCTGGACCCTGGGCGGGAAGAGCCGACAGCTGGCCTTGGGCAGTGGGCAGGGGCAGCAGAGGGGAGCTGGCTGAGGGGATCCCAGGGCAGCTGGTGGCCCCTGTGCCCTCTTACTGCCGCCTGTTGTGTTCCAGACGGTCTCCATCCTGGAGCAGCGGCTGACGCTGACGGAGGACAAGCTGAAGCAGTGTCTGGACAACCAGCAGCTAATCATGCAGAGAGTGACACCGTGATCGGGGAGCAGGAATCAGGAGCTCAGCTGACCTGGGGGGAGGAGGGACCGGCGGGGCTTATGCTGTGGGACTCGGGTGAATCATCGGGACTCGGCTCTGCGGGAATCACGTCCACCCGAGCCCCGGCGTCCTGCCCTCCGCGCTCCCTCCTGCCACCTGGAGGCGCTCGCCTGGCGGCGGGAGGCTCGGCCGCACACGCACCCTGAGCCACATGAAGCCGCTTGCTGCTGTGGAGTCTTGAGGAGCCGTGAGAGCCCAGCTCCCCCAGGAGGAGCCCCAGGCCACCTCGGGTCACTCGCCTTGCTGGGCCTTGTCCTCATTTCTGCCACGGACGACTTCCCGCCGTCGCAGCTCAGACGTGGCCTGCTCCTGATGGGCCAGCCGGGAGTCTTCTCTGACTGACGGCCCGGTGAGGCCCCTGGGATGTGGGCGCACCCAGGGACGTGCTTGCTGGCTTTGAGGTGCTTTGATTTCTTCCTCTGCGTGCACTGGGGCCAACAAATCTGAAAATTAAATGGACTTGATTGAGGTAGTCATAGAAATGGCTTGTCCTGAGTGAGGCCTAATCAGCCCCCACCCCCAGGCCCATACAGTGGAAATGACTGGCCACTTGGGAGGTCCCTTCTGGGATCAAGTCTGAAGCCAGGACACCTTGTTTGCAGCCATTCAGGGTGTTGGGGGAGCAAGGACAGCTGGAGCCCCTGCATACCACCCCCCTCCTGGCTGGCCCCAGCCAGCTTCCTTGGGGACCTGCAGGCACCTGCCTTTCCCTTGGCTCCTGGGGGTTCCAGAGGCCCCTCCCTCTGCCTCCGTGCGGGAAGCCAGGCGAGTGTTTCCCATGTCTGCTGTCCAGGCCTTCAGCGTTGGCGTGGGGCCCAGCCGCCGGGGAGGGTTCGTCCTCAGCACACCTGCCCTGGGGGCCGGGGGGGACAGTTAGAGCTTCCCAGGAGCTGTCAGTACCACTTGGCTAATGAGGCTCAGCCTCTGCGGCTTCCAGGTGGGAGCAGAGCCGGGATGCCTGGGAGCTTGGGCCGATGAGCGACAGGAATGAGGCAGCTGCCTCCTCCAGCTGGATGGGGGGAGAGCCGCAGGCCGGCTCAGGCCCCGAGCTCTGCCTTCGGCCTGCTGTGTCACCTCAGCAGGGTGACACCACCTCTCTGAGCCTCTGGTTCTTGTGAGTGATGGCGATAAGCTCCTCCAGGTGGTTAGGAGCTGGTGCTACACTAATCCGGCATGGCAAGTGCTGTGCCGAGGCCCATCTCCCCTGCCCCCACCCATTCCACCAGGACTTGGCACCTGCTGCCGATGACATACTTCCCACCAGCCGCAGTTGGGGAAGAGGCTGCTGGTTCAGGGAGTTCCGGAGATCCCCAGGGACTGGCTGCAGTCCTCATGTGGGGCTCTGCTGGTGTGTAGGTGAGCTGGCAGGCCTATCTGAATTGGCAGTGAGGCCTTCAGCTGCCATGCAGGTCATGGCTCCCCACCCCTAGAGGCTTTTACGGAGACTCTGGGCAACCCCACATCTGCTCAGGGGACACAGCTTATGGGGCCAGCCTTGTCATTCACGCACACACACTGCTGGCTGTCCTGACCCTGAGACCCCTTGGCTGTCCTGCAGTGGCTTCTGGGCCTGGAGCTAGAGCTCGTGACTGGAACAGCTGGCCCAGGGTGAGACCATTTCTAAAGACACCGGCAGTGTGGATCTGAGAGTGTGTTAGGGATTTGGGAAGTGGTCCAGGGGGTGGGGGCTATTTGTCCCTTGAAGCCCCACCACAGTTATCCAAAGTAAACTGTCTGGAGAGGGTGTGTTCCCCACACACACACCACACACCTTGTCTTGGGCCCTTCCCTAGAACTTGGCCCATGTGTCAATGGGGTTAGGGCTGGTGGTCCCAGGTTCCCTCTGGCCCTGAAATTCCAGGTGGCCAGAGTCATGGCCACTTTGTCCAGTGGTCCCTGCCGTGGGCATTCCCAGCAGTGAGAAGGGAGTTGAGCTGGCAAGCAGGGGGCTCCAGGCAGCCCCTCCCCACCTGAGGGAGCAAGCACTCCAAGGCCCCTCTAATGCTGTCACTGAGGCCACCCCAGGCTCGGGGAGGGCATTTGTGATTGCCGGAGTCCTGGAAACCCAGCCTGTGGAGCTGGCGAGGGAAGGTGAGTCTCTGGCCCTGTGGTCCAGCTTCCACCATTTGTCTTCTCAAGGTGTCCCTGATGGCTCTAGCCTTGATTGGCCATTTCAGGGGGTGAAACCACCCTGGGGTTCTGGCCAAGCACCCCTGCTCCACCCACCCCGGGCTGATGAGGGAACCACCTGGCACCCTGGCCTTGCTTGCTCAGCCACTAGGGGAGTGTCTCTAGAGGCTTTGCCTTGCCTCCCCATACTCATGAAGGCCCAGGATGTGGGGCCTCACAGCCATTGGCAAGATGAGACGAGCCAGGGGCAAGGCTATTAAGGACCCTTCTGTGCCAGCCGTCTGTGGGCAGCCAACCTCCTGGAGACTCTCCTAAGAGCCTCTTTATAGAACAAGGCTAGGCTTTCACTTTAGGGGAGGCCGCCTCTGGCCCCATCTGCCTGGGAGTGCTTGTGGCAGGGCCCCGGCCCCCACCCATGAGGAATCAGCGCCAGGACAAGGAACCTGGGCAGGAGAGGACGCCACGTTCTAGGCTTGCGGCCCTAAGCTGCACTTTTACGCACAAGTGTGTGCTCCTGAAAGTGGGGCTCTGGCATCTTTCATGGGCACCTAGTGGGCAGAGGCCTGGCCTGTAGGAGCTGGGGTTGGTACTGTCAGTGTCACTCAGCCCTGCCCATCTCCATCCTTCCTGGCTGGGCACCTGGACTCAGCTTTGGAATCAAGACTGAGCCGTGGGTGCCCTTGAGCACCGTGGCCCATGTGGTCCTTGTCCACGCTATTCTGGCCTCAGACCTGGCCAAGAACACCCGTGCCCTGCACCCTCTGAGATGTCCTGAAGTCTCCTGTTTGGGGGTTAGGGCTGGCCAGGGCAGTGGCCTTGCTGTACCCCAGGCTCTGGTGAGGCAAGGCAGCGGGCTGGATATGAATGAGCGAGTTGCTGCCGGCTGCCTGGCTACGGCGGGCTTCCCCATGCCATGGCACCCCCCCATTGCCCGATCCAGTCCTGTCCCTAATGGCTCAGAACCCCAGCCAAGCGGAGCCAGGGATTTGGGGTTTTTCTGCCTGAAGGAGAGGGGCCTGGGAGGCTGGAATCAACCTTGGGGGGGTGCCAAGACATCCAGGGATACAGTCTTTCCCGGCTCTTGCCTCCTCTGCCCTCTTCCTCTCCCTTCCTCCTCCAACACACGTGTTTCCAATCCCGACTCAGGCCCCTCTCCCCCTTCTAGCCCCTTCCCATTTCCTCTCCGAGGCATCCGCTGCATGTGGAACTCATTAGGAGACCCTCAGGGCTTGTAACCCAACTCGGGCTGGGCGTGGGGAGGGGCCCTGTCCTCAGCTCCCATGCAGCGAGCAGGAGCAGGGACACCCTGTCTGGGCCCTGTGTAGCCCTGTGCAGCCTCAGACTAGAGACCACGAGAGCTGGGCATGGCTGAGAGCTGGCTGAGGCCCGCTGGGAGACGTAAGGCCGGGGGCCGGCTCATCTCGCCCCCCTCCAGCCTGCTCTCCGGCGCCCATTTAATCATCTAGCCTCCCCAGGAGCCAGGCCAGGAGAGCTCCTGATCCCAGCAGGACAGCTGGGGCCAGAGAAGGCTGTGGGGTTTGGATGACCTTCAGCTTCCCATCTGAAAATGCAAAGGGGGGTCCAGAGAAAAAAACCTGTGAGAACAGCCACTGGGCAACGTAAGGCCGCTTTTTCCCTGAAGGACATCCTGAGGGCACCATCCCATGAGCTGAGCTCGTAGTGGAGGCTGTGTGATAAACATGCTGTGGTCACCAGTTAGGTAAGTGCCAGATGAACAAAATAAAGCCAGCTCTCTGTGCCTGCAGTACTTGTCAGAGCCTTTAACACTCTTGTGCTATGCGGCTGGGGCCAAGGAGTTCATGGTACTTCCCAGACATCTGACCATGTGAGCCTCTTTATTGAGGTGCACCTGGTGGGCCTGGTGTTCTACGGATCCCACTTTGGGCAATACTGCAGGAGGAGCCCCGAGGAGGCAGGAGGCATGGGGCATGGGTCAAAGATCCTGATGGGAAAGGCTCCCTGAGGTCAGAGAAGGGACTGTTTTCTGCTGGTCTGAGCAAAGGGTGGGGCTTGAATGGGGTGCCAGGCAGCAGGGGCTGGCAAGGCCAAGGCTTGGAGGTAGAACTATGCTTGAGCCATGCCAGAACTGACTCCCTACCCTTCCTCATGGGAGGGCAGGCATGGGCACAGTCAGAGGCATGAGGCTGGTGAGCAGAGCCTTGCCCACGGGATGAGACCTGCGCTGGCAGGCCCCAGGTGTTGGGAGTGTCCATGCCACCGCCCCCACCAGGAGAGCCTCAGGATGGGGTAGCCGCTGGCTCTAGGTTCAGAGCTGCTCTGTCTCCCGCTCTGTTTCCCTCCCTGTTGGAGCCAGTCTCTCAGAGCCCATTCTGCCCACACTCCCTGGCCTCCCCGTGGCGGGGAGTTCATTGCCTGCCCCCAGGGCCTTCTCCCTACTGTCCAGGCACCAGGGGACATGTGCTCGACCCAGGGCTGGGCCCCTCACATGTGTTTCCTCCTGCCTCACCGAAGTCTCTCCTGGTATACCTCACCCGCTTGAAAGAGGAGGAAACTGAGACCCAGAGAGGGAGGCCAGTGATGGAGTCAGTATTAGGGCCTGGTCTCTGGGTCTAGCTCCCCAGTCTCTCCATCCCCTGCCCCCTCATCTCACCCATGCCCTGTCCCAACACACACGGGGCACAGCTGGATCACCCGAGGGCCACATGGGACTGTCCCGGTATGTCCACGGCAGGGCCTGGCAGGTGGATAGCACTTGACCTTGTCTAGGGCAGGTGCACCAGGCCAAGGCCACTCCTGCTACCTGCAGTGCACGGCGGTGGTTGGGGCTCTGTGCCCAGTAAGTACCTTAAGCCAAAAAGCCCCTTTCCCTTGACCATTCCAATGGAGAGCCTGCCCGGTGGCCCTGCACCCCTGGGAGTTAGGTAGGCAGAAGATATTGCCCCACACTAGATGGAGCGGCCGCGGCACCTCCAGGGGCCCCAGTGCCTCAGCAGGCAGTCACCTGTGTCCCAGCTGTGTTGGGAACCCAGTGCTGTCCAGCCTGAGCTCTTGGGCCAGACCTGGTGGTTCCTGGGAAGTTTTCTAGGGAGGGCTCCAGCTCCGGCCAAACAGCCCTCCCCACACCTCACCTCCGCCAGCCCTGGGCTCTGCGCTGCCCCTGGGGCTCAGGCCAGAGGCCATCCCATCTGGAGAGGGGGGCAGGGCAGTGCTCTCTGAGCCAGGCTGGGGCAGTGAAGTGGGCGGGCCTCAGACAGGGCTGGCCCCTGGTCCCCCGTCCCCACCTCGGAGGGATGCCCGGAGCTCTGACAGCCAGAGTTCACTGGACCCCTCCTCTCTCCCGGGAGACTTGTCTTTGAAGTAAGGGAGTCTC